GGAAGAGCGCAATGATGGTGCCAACTTGGGCCAGTGAAGCAACGTCCTCCACAACTAGACTGAAGAACAAAAGGACAGCAACTTGTCTGTTTTCCAATTCCCCAATAAAAAAAAATCTTTAAAAAAAAGAGAAATTTAATTATCCCTAGGTTAAATTTTTTCTTTTAAAATTTTTTTGAGAGTACAACATACAAAAGAAAAATGCACATGTCATAGGGTAAAGGTTGATGAGTTTTCACGAACTGAACGTACCCATATTAAGAGCATCTATGACAAGAAGAAAACATTACCAGCACCCCAGAACCTCCGCTCCCTCCATGCCCCTCCCACCCAGTCCCTACTCCTCCAGGGATAACCACTGTCCTGATTTCTAGGAGCATAAACAGGTTTTGTCTCATTTTGTATTTCATATCCATGTATGTGGATTCATACAGTGTGTGCTTTTGGTCTGGTTTCTTTCACTCAGTATTGGACTTGGAGATCCATCTGTAGGGCTGTTGCATGTCACTGAGCTTCCCCATATCTGTTGCCGTAAGATAGTTCATCATTGTACACCTTGAACTTACACAATGTTATATGTCAATTACTTCTCAACAAAGCTGGGGAAAAAAACATGTAAATGTATCATATATTATTTATCCATTCTACTATTGATGGACTTTTTGTTTGTTTGTTTGTTTTAGCTGAGCCATCCTGCCACCTGTTGGCAGCTTAGCAGCTGCTCAGCTCGGGCCGGGACTTGAACTGCTGTTCTCAGAGCTTGCACTCTTGAGCAAGCTCTTAACCAACTGAGCCACTTGGCCGGCCCTTATTAATGGACTTCTAAGTAGGCTCCAGTTTGGGGCTATCACAAAATAGTACTGCTACGAATACTTAGATGTCTGATAATGAATACGTGAACAAAATTATGTTGCGTATTTACCTAGGAGAGGTCACACCAATTTTATTCCCAACAGCACAATATCCTCATTCCACATTCTCACCAATCCTTGGTTTTTTTCCATATTCATTCTAGGTATTCTGGAGATATATAAAGGCATTACCTTGTGGTTTTAAACTTGTGAAGAATGAGGAGACTCAACTCAATATGTGAAATAAGTTGAGTTTATTGATTACTACAGCAACGAAGTGCTATGCTGGCCAGGTGCAGCCTCTCCAAACAAAGCAAGTTATAGGAAATTGTGGAGCTTAGGTATAGATGGTATGTAGAGCGCCCCTGGAAACTGTTAGAATGAGGGTTGTTTTTTCTTTTAAGGATATCTATTTTTATTTTNCTGTTGTTCAGCATCTTAGCTGTGGAGGGCAGTGTCACTGGCCCTCATATGTGGGATCCGAACCGAGGCCCTCTGGCATCCCAAGCAAGTTCTTAACCATCGCGCCACTCGGCCGGCCCTAAAATATTTTTTTTAATTATAAATAAAGTGCGACTCTTGACACAATATATAATTGAAATCTGTCTTTTTTTCCCATGTGGCATTTTCCCCCACCCCCACCCCCGGAAATAGGCACAAGAGGGCACTTCTTATCTGCAGGCAATATTTTATTTTCTCCTTTGTTTTCTGGTTACTTTGTACTTTCTTTGTGAAAATGCACTTTTCATTGTGTATATTAGCTTTTAAAAGTTTACATAAAAAGTATACAACATTAAAGGCATTTTGTCCCCTGGTCATAAATCCAAGGTTCTAAGTGCATCCCACCTTCAGACCCCATAGAGGCTCAAAGTCTCCACTGAACCAGAAGATACCTCCATACTTCCAGCAGGTGGAGGTTCCACACAGCATCTATTTCTTGTATGGAAATTCAGCACTAGGGACGTTTTTGTCAACAGTTTGGGAGCTTGAGGCCAGTGGCTATTGATCACTGGTCTTCTCCAAGCTGTGTCGGATCCCATATCCAAAGTATATGGCAAATCCTAGTACAGAAATGAGACAATGAGAAGGAAAAGTGGGCCCTCTCCCCACTTGTAAATGCCCAATAGGCATCTCCTATTAAGGCATCTGGGATAATTTGGGGGAAAGGTATTAGGTAAAGGGTTGAGTTCAGCCACCCAAGAAGCCTCTTGTCCCCAGAAAGCCACTTACCAATCGCCATCCAGATGCCAAATTGGGCCCAGGTCCTAGCAGTCATCTGCATCATTAAATAAGTATTTACAAAGATGCTGATCAGTGGGAAGACAGGCAAAGCAGGGACCTGTGGGCAAAGTCAGCAAATCCTGAACTCACCACAGGTTCTTGAGAAGGAGATCCCCTACCCCGCTGGGTGGAAAGGAAGACTCCAGTCCTATTTGGGCTGAGCATTCAATGCCTACTCATATAGGGTATCCCACTGGATGTCCCCAAATGGAACTAGTAAAGTACTGAGTGTGGATCATGGTTTTAGCAACTCCCCTTGTTCTTCCCTGGTCCAGCAAAGAATGCTTAGACCTCAAATATGCAGAGTTCGTTCACTCCAGGTAGATAGTTGGGAGACATAAAGTCACCTGCCTTGAAGTGAAAAGGAGTTGGGTCCTGGGGCTGTCTCCAAATGATGAAAGTGATCCCCAAAATAAGCAGAAGCAGCAGCCCAGCTGATGTTGTGTACAATGGGTCTCCAGAGAACAGATGGCTGGGCCATTGGGCCAGTATCAGGCACAGGATTGTCAGCAGAAGAGCTGCAAGGGTCAAATAAGAGGAGAATAGGTCCAGCTCCAGAAGCCAAATATGTCAGGACCTTGGGTCACATCCAACCCCCAAATGCGGACGTCAAGAAGAGCTATCATATCTCCAAGACTCATCCTCAGCTACCAAAGGCACACATCCTGTTAATTTCAGAACACCACCAAAGACAAGCCCCACTGCTCACCAAGCAGGAAGGCACATCTATAGACGGTCTGGCCGGATTTCTGGGTGGGAATGGTGTTGATCGGGTTACACAGACTCTTTAGAGTCTTGGAGCTTCCTGCTTCAGGTACAGATGCCAAAGAACTTGCTTCACATTCAGGCTTTGCCTCAGTTATTTCCACCTCTGTTTTCTCATCCTTGCTTAAATTCTGATCTGGCTGGTACCTGAATTAGAGGTATTAAGGCAGTATTCACACCAGCCCCTATCCATCCAGCGTCAGGCTGCTAATCACCTCTTCCCCATTGTAAATGTAGCAGTGCACTTAGGAGACAGCATGAAAGTAGAAGAGGATCAGCCCTCCATCAGTCCCCATGAGTTCAAGACCCCCAGTCAAGAGATAATGGAGTCTTACCTGAGGACAAGCACAGAAAAGGCCACCAGGGAGTAGGCAAGCAGGGTCCCAATTGACATGAGGTCCACAAGATCACTGAGCTCGAAGAAGAGTGCCATCAATGCTAGAATGAGCACACAAACAAGGTGGGAGGAGAGGGATGAAAAACCACTGGAAATATCCAAGTTGAGGAAATTGATCAAAAAAGTAGTGGCTTTTGAATAATCACCTGCAAGAGTCCCAGAAACTATAGTGGCTATGATAGGGGTGCGTGTGCGAGGGTGGACCTGGGCAAGTCCCCGGAATAGAAGGCCATCCTCTGCCATGGTGTAGATCACTCGAGGCAGGGGGAACATGGCACCCAGGAGGCTGGAGGAAAACATGGGAACGCGTGTGAGGATGTGGAGAGCAGGACAGACCAGAGCTTCTGCTCCCTAGCCTACATGCAGCAAGGTGTCTCTTCCTCTCATCTCTCAATCCAAGGCGGACACACCCGAGAATCTAAAGTAGATGAGGAGAAAGCTTTTGACACTGACCTGGATGAAAGAGCACAGAGGGTGCCAGCAGCCACGACGTATCTGGCAGGGCCCCATCCAACATAGAGAAAAGCCTGTGGCAAGGGGCTGTCAGAATGAATCTGATAGTAGGGAACCATAAGGGTGAGTGCCGCTGAGACACCAAAATATGCCAAAAAGCAGATGAAGAGTGAGATGACAATGCCCAAGGGGATGGAACGCTGAGGATTGCGGGCTTCTTCCCCTGCAGGACAGGTGAAAGTGTTGGGTCAGGAAAACACACTGACGTGAAGGCACAAAATTCTCTTCCTTCGTAAACCTCCAAACGCAAGCTAACCTTCTATCAACTCCATGCCCAAGGACAGCCCAAACTGTGCCCAGCCCCCAAATGGGACAGGATGACCATGTTACCTGCGGTGGCAATGCAGTCAAAACCAACAAATGCATAGAAACACGTAGCTGCTCCGCGAAGAACCCCATCAAAGCCAAAAGGCACAAACCCTCCAGAGCCCAGAGGGCCCAAGCTATAGTGAGAGAAGTTACAAGCAAGAACATGGGTGAGGTGTGTTCAGCCCTCTGTACTGGCCAGCTCAGTCAAGGCCACAGTCCTGGGCTCCACTCCCCTCCTCACCTGGACCCATCAGCCCAGATCTCTGTTCCCCATCAGATTTCCAGCTAGGCACACACACACACACACACACACACACACACACACACACACACACTACTATGGCCAGGAGTGCCCTCCTGACCTATAGGTATCATTGGATCCAGATTTGGCCATTTCATAATCCTGCTGCGTGAGCTGCCAGTGGTGCACATCGCCCTTAATGATGCCAGAGAGGAAGACGAAGCTGAGAACCAAAAGGTTCATGCCCGTGAATATCTTGGTAACCAGGGCCGACTCACTAGCTCCCAGGACCAGTAGACCTGTGGGAAAGTGGAATAGGAAAAATCCAGAATAAATGAATTCATAGAAAAACAGATTAGTAGTTGCCAGTGGCTGGAGGAGGGGACTATCAGCAGTAATGGTTTCATGGGTACAGGATTTCCTTTTAAGGTGATGAAAATGTTTTGGAACTAGATGGAGGTGATAGTAGCACAACATTGTGAATGTACTAAGTACCACTGAATCGTACACTTTAAAATGGTTAATTTCTTATTAAAATAATCACCTCATAGTGTATACAGTCCAATCACTACGTTGGACACTTTAAACTGACACGATGTGAAATGGCAATTGTACCTTAATAAAGCTTGGGAAAATAATAAAATAAAATGGTTAATTTTACATTACATGAATTTCACATCAGTTAAAAAAAAAAATGACAGCGCCGGCCGAGTGGCACAATGGTTAAGAACTCGCTTGGGATGCTAGAGGGCCCCAGTTTGGATCCCACATATGAGGGCCAGTGACACTGCCCTCTACAGCTAAGATGCTGAACAACAGCTCAACCTGGAGCTGGGCTG